CAAAACGACGGCGGCTCCAACTTCAGTTGAAGCGCTTCGGGTGGCAGATGAAGCAGTTCGCGATGCAGAACACATTCACAGAAAGGCTGCTGGCACAGGCGAAAGGGAAAGCAACAACACAAATGTTGGCAGAAGCAACGGGCTCCAAGACCTCAGCGACCTTGGCATTCCCCAGGCTGAGAGGGTAGGCAAGGAGGAGCCGACCAACTCCGATGGCCGAACCATGATAAAGATCGAATGGGATAGGGACGAGGAGACCGGGCCGACGGAGCGCATTCCGCAGGAGAAGGCAGCGCTCGCAACGCTGCCCAAGTAGTTGCGCGACACGTGTGGGCAGCTCGACGGTAAAGAGAAGGAGATCGTCCCTCGGTGCCGACAGGCACAACGAAACAAGCGGGTCATCACCGAACGCGTTGCCAAGAAGAGTAAGAGTGGCGATGGCGAGGCCGCGACTGGGGCTCGGCAAGACGTTCCTCCTCAAGCCGAGACGGCTACGGACAGCCCAGAGGGCAAGCAGGAGGAGGCCGAGGCAACGCAGCAGAGGGCGCAGGAGCGGGAGCCGCGCTCCGAGGCGCGCTTCGCGGCGCGGGCGGAAGCGGCCAGTGCCAAGGGCACAGGCGACGACGGCTCAGCAGCTGACGAGTGACACACGGCGCAGGGCGCGTTCTGAGTCACCCGCCGCTGACGACAGCGCCGGGGAGGTGACCAGCTTGTTCGATGCTAGGTCACCGCCTACACCAACAACGTGTGCAGTATGTACTTGCCAATTCGCATCGCCATCATGTTTGGGGCGTCGTCGAGGCTCGCATCCATGCAGAGTCGGAGGCGAAGGGCATCTACACGAAAGCCAGGCAACATAATCTACGATTGATTCACAATCCAGCGCCTGAGTCTGGCAAGATTGTCAATGAGCCTGAGGGGGCAAATTCGAACGAGGGTTGAAACATGTTCTTAGGTCGGAAACATTTGCAGACACACCCTCTTCCTGAAGCAAGCACAAGCGCCCAAATCGCGTTTCGCGCTGCGCCACACGCGAATAATTCCGCGCCCTCGCGCGCCCCCAGGAAGAAGAGGATGGCGAGGAATCGGAGCCGAACCGCGAAGCGCGAATAGCTAAGCGCCCTCGAGAGCGCCCTTGTGTTCTTGAGTCAGAAACAACATGTGCACACACACACACACACGCACACACCTTCTTCTTGAAACAAAGGTGGCTTTGGCACAGCAGACGGGCTCGCTGCAACGGACGGCTTCCAGCACATTGTCACCAACCTCGCGGGCCTCAACATCGCGGCCATCTTCTTCTACGCACATCCGTCCGTGGATTTTTTTGTTCTGCTCGCATTATTTGGATGGTCGCCGGAAATCCCACCATTGAGCCATCTGTGCTGGGCCCCTCCGGCTTTGCGCGAAAGCTTGGCAATATCATCCGCACTGCCAGTGGGGGAAGGGGGACTTTGCGCAGACCTTATTAATCGCTTCGCTCATGCCGCCGGCCCTGGAGCCCTCTTTAGGGCCTCTTGGGGGCCTCTTGGGGACCTCTTGGGAGTCTCTTGGGGCTCCTTGGCGGCGTTTTGGAGGCCCCCAGGGCCTCTTGGGGGGCTCTTGGGGGTAGTCGATTGCGGCTCCCCCCTCGGAGGCCACGATCCTCGTGAGGGGTGTCGAAAAATACCCTCCCCTGGAGTGGTCTGGTGGCTTCTCCCGGGCTTCTCTCGGGACCTTGCCGGGGTACTTTTCGTCCGGGGGCCCCCAGGGGCCGCTCCGCGCGCGCGAACTAGAAATATTGTTAACAAGTTACCGGAGATCTTAGTACGCCTCTGGCCCGTTGGGCCGGCGAATAACGCGTCGATGGGCGATGTGCTCTTTCCCCCTTCGGCTTCGCCGCTCATCCGCGACGTGCGGATTGTGAAGCGCGTAGCTAGGAGTCCCCGCGTAGGTCTTCATCTCCGGCCTTTTGATTAGTCACGCGGGTTGGGGAATAGCTTCTAAGTTCGCTCAGTTTCTCCAGCCAAGTAAGGGGCCCAGTCCTAGTCCCAAAAGCAGCCTTGACAAAACCAAAGCAAGCGCGGCCCAACATGAGCTGGTCGGGGACTGCATCCACGCTTGAGTTTCACGCCCCTTACCCGTGGGAAGATGAGCTCCATATTAGCTCCATCGTAGCTGCTTTCCCCGTCTTATCACGTTTTCGGGGATCTTCTGACCCGGGTCAGTCAGGCCTTGCAGAACCCTGCAATATCCTACAACCAAGCCCGGGCTAATGCGAAAGATTCTGCAAGATCCTGCAGGATCCTGCGCCCAGGATCGGGCGCTCTGGCTGGCCCCCGATTGCAGCGACCCCCGTCTCAAGGCCCCCGGCGACCACCTGCGCGCCCGCAGCCGGCGCGCCTGGGCCGACCGACCAGCTCGGACCGGATCCGCTCAGTCCACGAGAAAACTCCCACGAGAAATCCAGCCCTGAAAAAAGGCGCCCGCTGATTTCTGGCGCGTGCGAACATCGAACTTGCCATGGCAGATCCATCGAAACCCAAGCAGCCCAGGGCGCCCTGGAGGTAAGCAGGGCGTTTCGCGGCATGGCCCCCCGCTGTGGCCAATGATGCTTCAAGCAGCGCTCAGTTGCCAGGGGGCGCGTCGGCAGGTGCTGGAGCCTCGAGCCCCGAGCCCGCAAACAAGTTTCCCACGGACTCGTGGATCGAGACTCGGCACTTGGCGCGAGGTGGGATTTGTTCCCGGGGACCCGCATGTAGAACGATGTCCAACTCCGCTCTCTTCCGTAGCCGTTTGGCCCGAGACTCGCGCCACCCCTGTTGGTTCTGGCGCGCGCGCGTCCTGGGCGACCGCGGCCGAGCGCACCGTCGCAACGCACCGTGGACGAGAGATGGTGGAAAGACGACGGGCCCGCGAGCCACATTTAAGAGTGGAAACAAGTCCAAGAAGGCCACCCATAAAACGCAGCTGCATTCACGAGATCAGAGAACTCAGCGGTGAACAGAAGTTATCACAGGTGTTTCCAACCTGGTGCGTCTCTCGGGACAGTGGTCCAGGGCAGCTGGGAGTGCATCGGGCCGCGCGCGTCGAGCTGCGCGGGGAGCGACCAGCAGATGCTCGCCTCGCGCTGAGAGCAAGCCAGCATTCACGTTGGGAACCACAGACGATCTTCCTCAACGGCCGCGGACTGGCGACCCAGCCCGCGAGGCCATCGCTGCGCGAAAAAACAAAAAGGCCGCAACGACAAACTGCACGCTCAGCGTGGAACGAGCGCGGCGGAGGAGTCGCTGAACCAAGCTCGCGCGGGGTGCTACGTAAAGAGCATAAGCAACAAGCCTTGGGGCGATCGTCGGCTCGACAACTCCATCCCGTCCGAAAGATAGCATGGTCGAGCCAATCGAGATCTTCAAACGCGCGCGAGCCTCGCCCCGACCCCCTTGGCGATGCGGGAGTGATCTTCCACGCGATCAGGTCAGAGGCTGAGTTCATGTATATAGTTTGAGCCGATCACAGTGCGCACGCTACTCGCGGCCATGGGCAAAAGAAAACCCGAGACGGGGTTTGGCGCTCATGGTTTCAAAACTACGGATATTGAGAAGCCGTCGCGTGCTGGTTTGGCTGACATGGCGTTGCTGCTGGATGATGCCGCCCTTGCGTGGCCGGCGCAGGCATTAGCGACCCTCTATAAAATTCCCCAGAAGATCGCGGCAGGAGATCGAGCTATCAGCGCGAGATCAATGTCAGGGCGAGTCTGGTCGATGAACAGAGAAGATGGAAGTCGAACGTGGTTCAGCGACTTAGCGCAAGTCTGGGGCGCAGCCGCCAGGGCCAACTCATGCCTCAGAGTGACATGCCCACGCGCGAGTGGCGAAGAAGCTGCGCGACACTTCGCGATGCAACATCGGCGCGCGACGCTCGATCTGAAGGCGTTCTACGAATCGATTCCATGCCTGCCTCTAGTAGAGACTGTGATGAATCGGGTTCCCGCCCGTGGTCTGCTAGTGCGGGCCCTTACCGCAAGGGGCCTTGCGCGAGAATCCCAACCCTGAAACCCAAGGGCGTCCATCGAAAGTCAAGAAACCCAGGGCACCCTGGAGGCAAGCGGGCTGCTTCCTGGCATGGGACTTTACTGCGCCCCTAGCGTCTGATGCGCATTGCAGCCAAGGGCCTCGAGCAGATGAGAGCGTCGCCCGATGCGTTCTAACCCAGCCAATGCCCGGTGCAAGGCCTGCGCGCATGCGCCCACGCGGTCCGCGACGTCCTTCAACATTGGGCGACTGTCAACGTGGCCGCGGCTCGCCATCGGATGGGGCATCTCGTGGGCGACTTGTCGCAGGCGGCGAAATGCTCGCGCAAGATGATTCGTTGTGGACCTGTGGGGCGCGTTGTTTTCACACGCCAAGAGCATAGCGAGCGGGGCCTCAAAAGGCCGCGCCCACGTCCGCGGCGATGTGCACGGGAGGTCGACAAGCGGGGCTACATAATCAAGGCCGTCTGCGAGGCGGTCTACCTTAATGCGGAAAGCGAGTGCGACCGGCGCCCAAGGGCGGCCAAGGCAAAGCGCGAAGATGAACGTCGTCGCATGTCCTCAGGGAGACCGCCCTTCACGAAGGCGCCGAGGCAACATCACGTGACGGCTGAGCTTCGTGGCGTGGAAGACTTTCCGCCGGGCCGCGCGGCCACCAAGTGCGTTGCGCGTTCGGTCAACGACTCGCGGCTGCGAGAAGGCGGGTGGCACGGTCGTCTTCATCGAGCTCCGGGGGCAGGCGCATAACTTGAAACAGGGCCAGGATCGGGATGAATCGATCCAGAGCGTTCCGGAGCGCTCTCAGAGCGTTCCGGACCGCTCTGGAGCGGCCGCGGCGCCCAATACATCCTCCAAACCCGCCGATTCTCAAAGATTTCGAATTATCCCGATCCGATTTTGTCCCGATGTTCGCGTCGTTTTATAACTGCGGTGCCTGACCTCAAGGAGCCAGGCGCCTCCCCTGCCATTTGTGTCCCGTGTCCAACGCATC